CAACATTCACAACAATCCAGCAAAGGTTGAAGAAATCAAATGGAGCAGAAGCCATCAAGTCTCGCCAACAACAATTGATGGAATTGGAGGAAGCTCGAGCACTAGCCATGGTACGAGTGGAGCGGGCTCAACAGTTGCAGAAGAAGTATCACGACAAACGAAGTGGAAACCAGAACTTGAAACCGTTCAAGGAAGGTGATTGGGTGATGCTCTTTGATGCAATTAGATACAAGAGAGCTAGGAAAAAGTTTCTTCCTAAGTATTTTGGACCTTTCATAGTTGAGAAGGTGTGGGGAAATTTCACTTATGACATCAAGGAGTTAGGAGGACGTCACTTCGATCGAGTCAACCACGACAAGTTGAAGTTATTCCATCGAAGATCAGATTCTTTCACTCCGAGGGCGTAGTGAAATCTTGGTCCGGGGGTAAATGTAAGACTGGGTGTTGCACATATGTACTAAGTCTTAAAAGTGGTCAAGGGAATAAGGATGATTAGCCAAGGCATAGCTAAGACTAGCTAGTTATGACTAAACTAGTTAGTTATAACTAAGTTTATCTAGTCATGACTAAGTTTAGCTACAATCTCTATAGTTGGCGGAATAATTAGCGGAGTTCTAGAAGAATGGAGTGAGCACTTCTATTTTGTCTTTCACAAGGAATGAGCACTTCTATTTTGTCTCATACAAAAGTTCTAGATTCCAAGGGATTAGATATTTGACTAGAAGCTTGGATTTGATTGGTTTGACTAAATGTATGAAAGATGATTGGCTAGACTAAGTCTAATGTTGACTTAGTGGCTAGGAAGCTTGTAGAAGTTTAAAAGCTTCCAATGGCATGTCGCCACCTCAACCTTGGATTCCGGAAGCTTCTAGAAGGTTTAGGTAGGCCAATGGCATGTTGCCACGTAGAGAAGGTTAGTCAAACTTACCTAGGTAAAAGTAAGTTAGGAGAAATTACCACATGTTACTATGGTAACTTCTCAAGTAGTATAAATAGAGAGGTAGAGTAGCACCTCTCAAGCAAGTTTGGAGAGTCATGTGTGAGGACTTGTTTCAATAATGAAGGAGTGAAGTTTTCGAGTATCTTGGAGTATCGACGTGTGTTTGCGTTTATGTGAAGAGGGTGATGTGAGGAGAGTTTGTGTGTGTGAGTTGGAGTGATACATGAGAGTTTGTGAGAGAAGGTGTTTGTGACATGAGTGAGAGTATGAATCCTAGTCTTCTAGAACCATGATGCGCTACCACAAAGCCATCAGAGGTAGACCTGAGTGAGAGTCAGCCCGGAGGTTGCAGGACCTTATCATTAGATTTCAATCTTGATTTGAGAAGAAATTCACCAACGAATATATTGTCAGCTTGGACGAGAATACAAAAAACTGAGTATTGCTTATCAAAGAGAAGATATACTCCGTGACATGATGGATCAAATGCCGGAATCTATGGATTTTCATGAAGCATGAAGTGCTCTTGAACATAGATTTTCCAAAGTGTGCACGTTTGCTAAAGGATTTGTTAGTATATATCCTGGTACAACGCATGTGGAGAGTGATTTTTATGTGGCTAGTTGGAAGAAAGACGAGTACAAATTGTACTTAATGGATCTATCACTTGAGTTCATCATGCATTGTAAACCGTTTAAGTAAATTCAAGTAATTTGAAACAGTGGTCATATTTGTCATGAATAAAATTCTGGTGATGTCATAATAGAGTAATTTATGACAGATTTGGCAAATGCCAAGTTAGCAGAGGCCTAGCAGCAAGTGATTGATAGTTGGAGGTACGCGACGAAGCAATGGTCGATGGATTTGGTTTTGTTTGTATGTGGAGGATAGGACAAATTTTAATCAAAGATGAATGATTTTGCAAAGCTGTTTGACGACTGTCGGATGCTCAAGATTGACGACTCGCGGGCCATCCGTTCTATTCCGCTCATGCCAACCTAGTCGTGTCGAAGAGCGGAACGATGGATTCCATTGGCTGCATCTAATGTTGGGTATAATACTACGCGCCCAAATTTTGTGAATTTAGGAAGTGCTAGTTACACCTCATTTAGGGCTAATTAGACCTCACCCTTCTATACGCTCATCTCTAATTGGTTGAACACTCTATTTTGGAAGTAGTTGCTATTCATACACAAATCCTATGACCCTGCATGGACCAATCAAGTAACTGCATAAAGTAGAGTGATGGCTAATTAGGCCTAAGTGAGTGATAACTATACACTCCCTGAATTTAATATAGTATTATACAATAATATACAAATTTGAACTTGTACATTGCTCCAAAATGCTTTATAAAACGTCTAAAGTGCATGAATTACATTGATGATTACTACGGATTTCACCTCACGTACTACAATTTGAGCATTTTCCACCATCATTCATCATATATTATGTTGATCGAGTCAAAATAAATTGTGGAGAAGACAAGCAAACGAGTGCACAACAAAACTCAAGTCAAGTTGTACAGCTCCAAAGTCGAAGCTCAATATGCTACAATAGCATTGTTTTTAGTCGACAAGAGATATCATATCGACTAAGAACAACACCCATCTCTATGAGATATCTCGTAGAGATGGATGTTAAAATGAACTTTTACTCAAGAGATTTTCATCACTCACGTTATGGGTTGATGAGGTGCAAGATAAAGAAGTGGAGTCATCATAATAGATCATGCAATATGATATTGATTCAAGAAGATTGACAGAGTTGAGGATAGAGAGTTTGCCTACCTGGACTCATTTATGAGTTCTGAGTAGTTAGATTTGGAACTATTTTTTCAAGATGAGTATGCCGAATAATAGGTTTTAATACACAATAAAATACAATGCAATATTTAAAGCCTAGTATTACATTGTGCGTAATACTCTATTTTAATACATACCCATCACTAGTTGCACCGCTGTGTGGTTCGTCATCCTCCGCGCGTGTGGAATAGAAGGAAGTGAGAGCAATTCATTCACGTCAAGGCCAAGAGCCACTATAGCCACTATCAATCACAAAAAAGAGTATAGTAGGGTGTTGGATGATTAGCCAATAGTGAAAATAACTAGAACTTTACTTTATTATTTATAAATCATTTGAGTACCAGAATATATTTTTCATTGTGATGCAATTGGATGTTAGCTTTTATGTTGCTCTTTTGGTTCATACTATGTGAAGTTTGACGGGTTCCTCACACTTCTTTTTATTGTACTTTCTCTTTATAGTTATTTTTCATGTATGACATTTATTGAAAAGAGGGGACTGCAGAAATATGGGATGAGCCAAATCTTCATGGAGATCCAATAACTAGAGACTACATAATGGCCAGCACGAGAAGTAAAAACCAGCGTGTACAGAGTTTTACTTATGAGCTAGTATCAACAGATGATGAGGAAAGGAAGGTCAACCATTGGCTAAAAGCATCAATGCCAAGACCCGTCCCAAACAAAATTATTCCAAGGCCAGAGTGAACACGGGTACCCAGCATAGCCCACAGCACAGGAGGGAGAAGAGAATAGTGTTCTCTCTCGTGATAGGCCTCCATCTTGTCCAATGCTACCCAAATATAGTGCAGCTTAGAACATCTAGTGATAACTACCAATTCAAGCGTAAAGATTTCTCATTATGGAAATTTTGTCTTTAATTCCGGGTAAAGCACGTTCTAGTGCAAAAATAATGGCATTTTAGAAAATGAACAAGATGCAGGCAATGATATGCGTGATCTTGTCATGATAAGTACTTTGCACAATCTAGGACGACACTATCCATCTCCTGTCGCATAGCTCCCTACATCTCCATAACTAAAGGGAGAAAAAGTGGTTATTCATGGATACCTGTATTCGCGTGTATCATGTATCGCAATAATCTAAGCTCTCGCAGGAGGCAGCTATTCTAGGGGGAGCTGCTTAGACTATACTAAGCAGCTACTCCTAGAAATGGACGAGTACCATCTAATTGGACCGTTTCTCGTGATGATCACAACATCTGCCACAAGTATTTTCTCATGTGTCACAGTATGTTTGCTCTTTTAATCTTGATTGGGTGTCATATTATAGTTCTCGCCATTCTAAGTCCATACTGAGGACCCACTATCGCCGTTAAACGCATACATGACAGGTTTCAAGGTCATGGGACGAGATGTCAAGTATGTGCTGGATGCACCTGCTGCATCTTTCTGCTCCAACGCGTTAAGCTAGTGGTAGCAAACTCATTCAGTCCATGTAAGAAAGATTCTCAACAAAGCGTATCTGTGTACAATTTGTACTGGAATAAGTATGTCCCCACGCTCTGCCTCCTTGCACGTAGCTTGATCTACCGGACATTGCATATAAATCCGCGTGGATCCGAAGCAGGCATCATCGTACCGATGCTGGTATGGATATTACAGGTCCAGATCCACGGATCGGAGAGGTGACGCAGTTTTTGAAAGCCTTGGCCTTTCAACTACAATGCGCACCACAAACCTAAAAGAGGCTATCATAATCACAAGTTCCGAAGTCCAATGATGCGGAAACTGGACCTTTGGTGTACCACTTGAATTTAGCTTTAGACAGCTCGCCGGTGTCCATCCACATAATTCTCCACAACCAGCTGGTGGCTGGGTGGAAGCATTTAGATCCCAAGGTGAAGTATTAGGCTTTCTCAAGGTTTGAGCAACAGGACCAAAGACGATGACCACGGACTAGCAATGATCCAGGTTCTGCGTGAACCATAATTCAGTGTAGATACACATGTGGAACCTGGCTTCGGGTAACAATACAGGGGAACAACGTATTGCGCAGAGACACGAGCAAAATTAACATATTCGTGTCTGGTCGTCCTTCATAAAACAGGTCGGTGTACACAGATGGGATTGTACGAGCAGGGAAAGGAACTTGTATTCGGCATGTGAAATTTCAACTCTAGGCTGCCCTTAATACGGTAGCAAATCCATTCACATGATCGAAAAAGCCCCAAAAGTGGAGAAGCTAATTCAGACCTCCCAATCATGGATTCAACATGCAAACCAACCAAGACAGGTCTCTTTGTGGAACATTTACCATTCAATTTCATTTTGAAGATAATCCACGAGGAAGAGTCTGACAGCTCCATCGGACAAGAGGAGAGAGAACTTCTCAGTGTGAACAAAACTTTCTAGAAAAGGTCACCACGATAGAAAGGTCATCTAAGAATCTTAGATATTTCATAATGAACAATTCGGTGAATCTCATTGAATGACTGCATTGAATAAATTTTCCAGGAAACAATAGCCCTCCTCTTCTAGTTCTCAATTCTAAAGGTAATTAACTAATTCTCGACTGACCTGGTCATGAAATTTCCAAGTTTGTCCGTTGTATGTCGTCTGCACAGAATTCATGAGGTGACAACGTTCAGTACGAAGATTAGAGCTGCTTCGAGCCCGTATTTTCACAAGCAAAAAAATGTACGCTTCAACGCGCAAGGATACGACTGAATGGACAATTCAGGCGGAGTTGTTTACAACTAGAATAGAAACCTATGTCAAGTTTTGTCCAAACACTCCAAGGGGGAATTTACGCGTCACGTAGTACTGCTGAGAACACTTCACTAGTGAGGTGAAAGTTTCACATTCTCATGTCACACAAAATGCCTAGGGTGAACAAAAAGGCACTGACATTCAACCACCTAAAATCTGTTGAGAGGAAATGATTGGGGTATTTGTGTCTCCTACCCAGAAAACATTGACAAACTCAGCAGTTTTGCATTCCTAATGTATTGATCTTGAGCTGACAATGACTTCAGGTTCAATTTCTCCAGGATGAATACCCTAAAGTGTGGAGCAGCGAGAGGAATTGCAGCAATCGATGTGGCACTGAAGCTACATACCTATTCATCGTCTTCGGTAATTGCTAGTGGTTCGCCATTGTCGAAGCCCCAAATTGGCGGGGGCTTGGGAAGGCGAGGGTACACGGTCGGGCCTTGCCTGTTCTTGTCATAAGGCTGGTGCTTCTTCGGCCTGCTTTTGACGTGGTGAGCGGTACATTTCTTCTGTGGCCGCTTTGCGCACTCGATGAGGTTTACCCTCCTCGGCGCGGCCGTCTCCGTCCGAACAGAGCTCGTGAGCTGCACGGGGCTCAGTGACAGCGACGACAGCTGAGTCGCCAATGCCGCCATAGCTACGTCCTCGGCTCGAACTCCTCACAACCCAATCCAATCCAATCCGCCAGTGGCGCTTCCGTAAGTCTTCCGAATTCCGCTCAAACAAAGACGTTGATTCTTCGTCCTCCTCCTCCTCTTTCCCCTTCGGACGGTGAGGCGCAATCGAATCTCTGTTTCGTTTTGCTTATCTGAAACCTCAGCTCTCGTTTTGTCCACCTCACTCTCTTCCCAATGTCTCCCTTTCCAGTGGGACCTACCGTATCTGCCCGTCCTCGTCTACGTGGTTAAGCTACTGTGGTAAGGTCTCCATCACAGTCGGCCCAGACGGAGACACCTCGTTCCATTGTCTCGTGATAAGAGAGTACCAGTTAATATACCCCCAAAAAAAGGGACTATGTTAACAAATTTTTATATGTATACAATCAAGTGAAGTAGATCCCCTTCTTGAGTTACATTTTACTAAGACAATGATAGTCATCTGGTGTGAAATTCGCTCTCTTATTCTATTCTATCACAACGTATCAAGCATAATTATATATAAATTCCAATTATGATTAAATTTCATATTCCAAGTTATATAATTTACATCTTTAATGATGATTTAATGATTTAATTTGGATAGAGAAGTCTAATTTCACTTATTGAGTCCACTGGCAAAAATTCTATACAATTATATATAAATATATTCATAAAATATGTTTGAAAGAGGATGCATGTGAATTTATATAATTATTTTTTTAACATAAATATATAAGTTATTGAAATAATACATATACTGCATTGGCTTGAAAGTATCACAGAAGGAAAGAAAAATTTTAAAACAAATTTAATGATTTTTTTACTTCACTCGTTTAAAAATAAGCATGAGATGTTTTTGACATTGTTCTCATACATCAGAAAACAAATACTCCTAAAAAATTTATCTCAATAAAAATTTATTAAGATTATACTAACAAATAAATAGATTTTATTTTATATATTGGTTTCCTATATATATGAAGAGAGAGACAATATTTTGATTTATCTAGTTATAAATTTAATGTATATTGGTATGACAACTTATATTTCTTAAATTTATAACATATTAAATTGCAATGTGAATATGAAATAATAAATCAGCAAAAAAAATTTATACAGTTTTGAGTTAGAACTAGAAATATTCTTAAAATATAAAATTTTATCTTTAAAAATTTTTATTTCGATTTATAAGTTATCAAGAATTTATGTATGCATTTTAATTAAGATATTACATCAAAATCATTAAATTATTAATATAACAGAAAAATATTTGGATCTGAAATAAATGAAAATTTTATTTTCAGCTACTTTGAAACATTTGGGGACAAAATTTTCTAAATATCATTTACCAATAATCATTTTTCATCTTGAAGTGCATCTTGTGCTAAGATAGTACAAAATTTAGTGTCTTAGATGATGTTTATGTTAAATTGATAAAAATCTGTTGCAGTGGAAACAATGAGAAGATAAATATCACGAAAATAAAAAAAATTCAAAGCAAGATTATTTAATATGATATCGTTTGAAATTGAAATAATTAAATCTATAAGTAACTTCATATCCAAGAAAATTGCAAACAGTAATCCAAAAATTCCAAAAAAATCAGTTTTTTTTCTAAGAAATCGCTTTCTCCTGTTGATATTTTGAAAGTCGAAATTAGTTTATGTGATATAATATTGGCCAAACATGAAATATTGTGTTATGACACATAATTAAGACTGTTTGAATTTCAAAAAACAAGACAAAATATACAATGTATAATGAACATTTTATTTTCATTAAAAATTCTACAGTTGAAACAATACAAAAACTTCTACTTGTAGATTAATATTTCAAACACTCAAAAATCTAACTAAATTATGATGTATTTTTTGTTAAAATATATACACCTAATTTTTTTTGAAAAAATTAAATTCAAAGATTACAAAATTGATAGTTATAAAATAAATAAATTTGATTGAAATAAAATGCTTCTGAATTTAAAATTTAGCAAACTTCTCATCCCATGTTAGATTAGGTCCACTTTGACTGAATCTTGTGTAAACAACTTCATCCATTAATTCAAAACAAAACCAACAACATATTCAAACTTAATTGATTATAAACGCAACTAGCCTAAAATATGTCATAAATATATTTTTTCTGCATAAATTTTAATTTCAGTTTTGGGAAGTTACTCGTAATATAAAAAATATAATGTACGTAACTTATATACACATAAGTTTTTCAATTTTATTCTAATGTTTCACTTTAAATTTATATTCAAATATAGGTATTATCAAAATATAAATCAAAACATACTTTATTTATGAAAATGAAACCATATGATTGCATTAAGCAAAAAAACACTTGATGATGTTTGAATGTAAGAGAAAAGAAATACTATTTTTTCAGTGCTTAATGAATTATTTGAATATTTTTTTAATTTGCAACAAATCTTCTTGCTAGAAATTTTCATGTTTAAATTTTTATTAATTACATATATTTATCTAACACATTTACGAGTTGTTAAAAATATAAAGATCATAACAAGTTTTACTACATATTAAATGATTTTATGATCCATTTAAAAAATATATAACTCTCTCTTCTAAGTATTTAGCAACCTTATCAAAATTTAGTTTGCTTGTCCTCTTATAGTTCATTGTGATAAATATCTGTTTAAAAGTATGTCTAAGAAATGTTAGCATACAAAAAATTTTAAAACATCATAATCAATAAAACGTTTTCTTTGATTGAAAATTTATGTATAAATTGTTAAGTGCCTCTTTGATTATTTTGTATAAAAAATGTATGGTCGTTAAAAAACTTTGCATCAAAATAACACGGAATAATTAACTAGGTTTAAAATGTATGATATCTAACGGAACATAGATGATATAAACTTAAAAGAAACGAATTTAATGTAATCATCTAAAATATTTCAGTGTTCGTCAGATTGTGATTTCATATCATAGTTAAAGTTCCACATGAAAATTCATTTTTTCTAGTTTGGTATGGTATCATTTATTCACAGAAAAAAATATAAATGATGAGGAATTTACAATTATATAATATCTTGTTGAAAAAAATGTATTTGATGGAATATTAAAATTTATTCCGAATATTGTGAAAATATCATATTTTTGAAACGTTTCAGATCTGATATTAATAATCCCGTATATATTAACTTTCGAATTTTTTATTACTAAGCAATTGAATTGAAACCTTTTTCAACTAGAGTTATAAAAAATTTGTTAAATCTTTATCTCATTATTTTGTTTAAATTTAAAAATGAGATTTTTTTGTTAAGTTCACATGTTGAATTTACATCTAAATGGCATATAAATTAATGTTAATTTTATTGCAAATCGTGTCGGCATTTTATACCTCAGCTTTTTATTGCAACACTTTTTTTTAAAGTTCTTGTTGTATGTATAGGTTCTATCTTGTATTTTTTTTAAAGATATGCGATGGTTGAATTTATCCAATGATATAGTATTTAAAAGAAAAATTCGATGATTTTATTTAACCCATCAGGAGTGACGTTACATTAATTTTCCAATTTGGTGAAAAATTAATTTCGATTTTTTCACTTATTTAATAAATATAGCTTTCGAAGTCATAGATGTAATCAATATTTTTTTAATATATATTTGAGATTCAACTTTTAATGATGGAAATGCGTGGTGAAACAATAAAAAAATATAAAAATAGCATAGGAAATGTATAATACATTTTGATGTAGGTGTAAATTTTTTAGTATGTTGTGTATATGACTTGTGAAAATGAGCAGATTTTTGTATCTATAGAAGTAAAAAAATATAATATTTGCAATCGATATGTTAAAAATTATATATTATAAATACATTTGCGTATAAACATAATCCCCAATAAATTTAATCATAACTGAAGATAGATTTACAGCCTGACTATTTATAATAAAAATGAATAAATTTCAAACATGTTGATATATGAAAATTGATTAATTTACTAAAAATTTATTTATCCAAAATCTATAACAAATAAAATAATTTTTAAAATAATAATAATAATATTTTATTCCATAAGAGGTCTTACAAAATCAATCAAAAAATATGCATTGGTTATAAGTGTTTTGATGATTTTTAAGAGAATATGTTATTATATTTTATATGTATTGATAAAAAATTAATTATATTTTTCAATGAAATTATATGGATATAAATTTATATGATGAGATGCATTTTTGAATTTAATAGAAATAAATATTGAGCTTATATTATGAATATTATGTATACAAAATAAAATATTGTCATAAAAATCTGAATAGAGATATTATCAAAAATCTGTTGTGTGTCGATAGAGAATTAGGTTTTTCCAGGATCTATTTTATTTTAATAAAAAGAATTTCTCATATGATGTTTTAGTAAATATTGAAACATAATATGATTTGATATTTTTTTATGTACTTTTGTATGAATTATTAAAAAATTTTGATTTTTTTTGAAGAACAAAACGTGAGAATATACATATTTATACATAATGATTTTTTAAATGACTCTATATGTCTATAACCGGTATGATATTATGAATTCCTCTCCTCTTTTTTTAGTTACTAAGCAAAGGGCACTCTGCGTATGTTTATGAGATTGATGATTTGTCAATGAGGATGTGGGGGAGCACGCCTCACGAAAAAAATCTTGGTATTTTACGACCGGTTATCTATCATATATAGAGAGATTCTCCTTTCATGGCTTTAACTCTCCACAGGCCCATAATGCATATAAGGCTTTCTGATTTCGTTTTAATCTTGAAACGTTTTTGTGAATTTTGTTCTGTATAATTCTGAAAAATTATTATTAGGAAAAGATACAAATAAATTCCAGAACTTAATTTCTTCATAATTTTGTATAATATTCACGCTTATTATCAACAACTGGAATATATTTTTCATGGAAGATATTTATTATGCTTGAAAATTTACACTTGAGGTTCAGCATGGATTTTTTAAGTCGAGTGGATTGGCCTGATTAATTCCCGTTTTTATAGCATACACATTTTGGATAATCAGTTTTTGTTATGATTCCAAACCATAACAATAGCTTGTAGAATTAGCTAATCAGGCGTATAAAATCATTATAAGTATAGTATAAATTATAACTCATATTATCATTTTTCCAAATATC